CAAGATTTTCCTGAAGAAAAACAGATGTTTTAAATGACTTGACAAATAAAGTATGATTTGATTCGATCTATGTATTTACAAAAAATACTACTAATACTACTATAAAAATGTTAAATTACTCAAAAAATGTTCGATTGGGCAACAAAATTTAACAGATCGAGAGAAAGTTTAGATTGGATTCAGATTCAAGAATTGACAACGCGTTTAAAATGAAATCACCAAATAAGAAATTACAGATTATTTTTCCCAGTGGGATAATATGTAAATAATAATATGTAAAATATATATGCATATACATATGTATATACTTTTCCTAAAAAATAAATAAACTGCCATATAGTTTAATGATGTGTGTATATACTCGTAATTGATTTATAACGCATACATAGTTCGATAAATATTACTATATTTTTAACCTTTTAATATATATTATTTATTATCACGACTTTTGGGTATAATGAGTCAGTTCTTTTAATGTCGTTATAACCAGTTTAGACTATATATTCACATACTTTTACCCTATACAATTTATCTGAGAAACTTATAAATGGAATAAAGAGCAGACAGTCTCACTTACGATAAAAATTTACGATAAATCATTAATTATCTAATTATACTAAATTAAAGTAACAAAATCCTTTGTATGTTATGTGTAATTATGATTTGTGCAAAATATATGCATTTATAAAGAAGGGAAAAATAATTAATTTACTATTATTTTTAATTCTATTAACGTTAATTAGTTTTTAAAACAGTAGAGCAAACAAGAAATTGAGTAATTAGAAATTACTTAAAATCAGAGTGGGTAGAGCACTTATATTATGCTCTAATCTTTTTTAAGAGGATATTATCACACAATAGAATTTGGTAAGAGTAATTATGTTAACAGTTGTTTCAGTCAAATGCTCTTTATATAGTTTGCTTGCTGACACATTTTGTTTTTGCAAATACATAAGAGAGTTCTTATTGAATTGCTTCTCAATTTTATATGTCTCTGAACTATTTTTTTTTTCATTTCAGAGATCCAAATATGAAATCACATAAATACTTGTAAGTTTGACAGTAGAAATAACACTTGAATATGTAAGAATAAACAAAATAAAAATGGAATGAATTTGATTTAATCAAAAACAAATTATTCTTTAAAGCAAAATGTATAGCCACAGAGTATATAGCTAATATGTTCATATTCTCTTGCATCATTACTGCAGATGTAATATTTTTTTCAATGTGAAACTTTTAAGAGAGATGTGTCAAAAGAACTGAGCACCAAAAGCACTTTTCATCTGAGAGTGGTGAAGAGCGCGCTAAGTGAATGGCATATAATAAACAGAAAAAAACATATGGTAATCAGTCAAGAGCTTTAAAAAAAAAACCTCTCAGTTACAAGAATAAAATTGAGTATTCTGAGAAGGAGTTACATTGTCCGAAAAGACCGAAATATTTCTTTACTTTGCTAGGCATTTGTAAAATATGCCCGAAATCTTTCTTGGTTGACATTTATTATTGCGGAAAGCTTCTCATTTAGCTATACCAAAAATAAGACACATGCATTAGGTGAAGTCATCACAAAAATACATTAACATATAACATTTTTACACTATCAATTCTCTTTTCACTTTTTTTTAACACGCTCAAATAGCTCCACTCTTAAATTGAGTGCATTTTCAGGTTGTTGCTCTATTACAGCGATGGGGAATGTGTAAAAGTTGTGCCAGAAGTGGCTAACCTAATTATTATAGTTTAAGCGGCCGTATTGCACTTGTGCTCAATAATGCAATAGGTTAGATTAGGTTGTACCGGCGATTTAAAGGGACCTACTTAGACCCATTGCCTTTCCTTCTAAGAGAAAAATTCAGCAGTTTAAAACCATCTTAAACGCCTGTCAGTAATGTAATAACCTGTTTGATTTTTTTTTTGCTTTACACAACAGTTTTTGTTAAAACAAGATCTGAAGTTGAACTACAAAAAATTGTGATGTATGGCATGCACTTATAAAGAGGCTGGTCACCACTGTGATCTATAATTTACATACTCAATCATCAACTAAACTTTATGTACAATGGTAGATGCGCTTCAGGCTTCATTATCGGTGCGCCATTACTGAATTGATTCAAAGACATAGAACTTTTCAGAATATATTGTATATGTAATAATAAAAAGTGGTTTTACATGTATTCGTTGCAATACCTATGTCTTGAAATCAATGTTTTTTCAAAAGTTATTCCACATATTTTCCCTTTTCGCTGATTATTATTAGCCATACCCCATCCAGAGCATTGACTTGTTACATGGAATCTTTACCTATTTCTATTTCAAGTTATTTAGCGTTATTCATTTAAAAATTTGCCGGTTTCATTTTTTATTGTTCTTCTCCAGGTGTTATATAGTCTTACTCTGTGTCGGTTGCCTTGGGGTGCCATTGAAGTGGACGTGGCATATTTTGTTGTACGGCTTTCGAAGAGCGTTTGCAAGCTAATTATATTTTCTACGTTTGACTTGTTTGTTGATATCTTCTTGGTTTATTCGTTGAAGTAGTTTTGTATTTGAAATTCTAGGTAGCCATCAAATTCTTAAAATATTGCGTAGGCATCTGTTGGTAAAGCTTTGAAGTTTTCTTTGCATTTCATTGTTGTTCAATCAAATTACTGATCCATACAATAGAAGAGATTTTACACAGGCGTTGTTAACATGGATCATGGATTTTTGCTTGAGAAGATATTTCATTTGAATTGCATACACTACGAAGATTACTGAACGCTATTCTGGCTTTTGATATTCTGTTATTCACATCTTTTGCTGCACCTTTATGTGTATTAACGTAGCTATCCAAATAGCAGAACTCATCGACGTAACCGATGGATCTATCTGCAATTGTGAAAGAAGTGCAAGATAATTATATAACCAATTTATTTAGAAAGAAAATGTTTACCTATGCAAAGGAATATCACCCTATATCTATTATATGTAAAATAGTAATACGTGATTATGTGTAAAATAGTAATATGTAATTAAAAAATGAATGATATTATTATATATATATACCAGTGTACTTTAAATGTTTTACTATGTTTTATTTAATTTAATAAATAATACACGGGAAAGTATATATAGTTTTAATTTGTTAATCTGATTCGATTTCCATATTCCTATGATTCTCTCCCAATTTGCTTATCTGTTCTTTTATTAATTTTATTTTTTAGGAAGTCCTCTATTGGTAGAGGTTATATATATATATATCATATATGTATATGTATATGTAATGTGTATATGATATATGTAAGAGGTATACAAGTTCATTTATTACTTTTAATAAAAATATACTAGAAATGTCGTCTAATAAATGATTATTTATAATTGTGTTTAATATGTATATATTAGTTTCCGTAGAACCTATGAGGAGCAAAGCACCATAAGGTTGAATGTGTATGTAGTGTAGTGTACATGATTCAATACCTTATATACAAAATCAACTTCGCTATATGTGATTTGTCATTGTATCTTTGGAAAATGTGGACATTTTCCGAGATTTGCACATTTTACACAATCAAAGACCTACCCTACATTATTTAATGTATCTTTCTGATTACATACTTTATTTTATTTTTTATAAGTAATGTCGTTAAATCTAATTTCTAATGCCAGACAGTCGTAAGTGCATGTTTTTTATTTTTCGCTGCCCGTATCTTTACAGAATGCTCACTTATATGGAAAAAATGATATTAAATTTTATTTTTTTCATAAACTAATACTTTGTGTAACACATGTGGTATTTCCAGCTTTTATACCATAAACTTGAAATTTAACATATTTCCTCAGCCATTTATAAAAACATTCATTTGTTGCAACTTTAATATAATGTATCGCAGATATTTTGATAGGTACATAAGTACTTGAAAAACAATGGCGAATTTAGAAAGTTCAAATATAATTAAAACAATAATGAATTTAGAAAGTTCAAATTCTTATTATTTCTTAGAAATAATTCTTATAATTGCTTAGTAATAATACTTATTAGATTATTATAGGATCTTCCAAAAATAATACTCTTTACCAACCGTTCAGTTTAATTTCAAATCATATAATTTCATGGCCATGTCTTTGTCCTACTCATTGGTATGGGATGATGCAAAAAATATCACAATCATTCATTTTTATATTAATATTGATGATTTATGTCACACTTTAGTTCGTTTCATCGTTAATATCAGTAACTTAATACAAATAATTTTATGTTGTTCATTTTTTCTTGTCGAAAGTCACGCGTCTTATGATTGAAAGAAACTATTTAAAAGTTAGAAGGATTCGAATAGAAATGAAAAGACAACAACAAAAATTTCATTTAATTTTAGTTAATTTGACTGACCATACAACGTTGTTTCGAGTACTGCTAAGTAATTATATGGTAAACGATTCAACAATAAAAATAGTCTTTTGCTATAAAAATACAAGTACCAACAACAATAATTGGAAGTGAAGATAAGAATGACTGTAAAGCATTACAAATTTCTGCCAGCTTGCTCACTTACAAATTTTATTACAATCGAACCCCCCGCCTATCATAAGGTTTGTAAAATCAAAAATGAGTCAGAACAAGTCTATGTATTTTATAGCCTTTGGGTACGCAGATTGAATTTATATGCAGCTCAACTTTAGTTTTCTAGTCTTAAAGAACTTTTATATCGTATTAATATCCACATATGTAATAGCATAGGAATACGCCATTCAAACAATCAAAATGGTTAATCAAAAATGGAATAAGTATATATCACTCAGACGCATGAACTTATTATCACATGATATAGTTCCATTGTCCATTTCCAGAAAATATTTAAATTTTCAGGCAGAATATCGATAATAAACGGTTAGAAACTCAATGTACTCATTGATTCGTTAATTGGAATCTCTTAGTGTTCAAGCAAAGAAATTTGATCATCCTAATTTAAATATATTCACATCCCTTATAAGCAATAAAATACGAATATTATTTGTAACTATTTATCTATATTTACTTAATTAAATTATTCACCAAATCCCAATATCTACTTTTTTTCTAATAGCCCAAAACGTTGCATTACTAAAACTATAAAAATATTATATATTGCTGTAAACATAAGTTCCGCAATCCATGTTAATGTTTTTCAAATTACTTCAGAACAAATGACCATTAATGGACATATCAAAAGAAATCAGCATCATCATCTGAAAGATCTTCAAAATCGTGTTTTTGAATATTATACTCCTTAACTTCGACTGGAGGTGGATGAAGTTCAGACTTCCACAATGAAAGGTTATCATGAAGTAACTGCAAAATATAAGAGGTGTCATGACACTCATCATCAGTTAGCTTATCCAACTCAACAAAAGCTAGATCATAAGCAGTTTCAGCTAGATTGCATGCATTTTCTGGAGAATTCAGTATCTCATAGTAAAATACTGAAAAATTAAGTGAAAGTCCCAAACGTATTGGATCGGTTGGGGATATGCTCTTCATGGCAATTTTATAAGCACACTTGTAGGCTGAAAGAGAGTTTTCAGCAGCATCCAAATAATCGCTATTAGATGAAAATTCTGCTAAATAGCGATGATAGTCAGCTTTCATTTTATAATAGAACACCTTGCTTTCAGGGTCATCAGCATTAGGCAAGAGATAATGCTCCAAAATATTCAAGATGTCGCAACAAACTTCGTGCAACTCTTTTTCTACTTCCAAACGATATTTGATTACCATTTCCAGTTTACGTTTATTATCCTTTGTCTCCTTCATTTGTTCAGCCATCTTGATTATACGCCAGGAAGTACGACGAGTGCCAATGAAGTTCTTATAGGCAACTGAAAGAAGTACGCGCTCCTTAACAGTTAGCCGAACACCCATTACAGCCACTTTTTTCATAAAATTCATCATGTCAAAATAACGTTCCGTTTCTTCAGCCATCTTAGCCAAATAGACATTATTTTCTCTTTCTTCAGAATTGGTTATTGGCAACACTTCAGCCACTTCAGCCATTGCGATAATAATTGGTAATAATTTCAACCTAAAAAAATTTATTGTTATTAGATTTAAAATATTTTATTACCACGAAACGATTCGCTGTCTTCAACGTCAGGGTTTTATATGAATCTTTAAATAGATAGTAATGCATATAAAAGCTTGATGAAAATAGAGAAAATACAGAAATAGAGAAAAGAAACGGAAAGAGAAAATTGTGTCTATAACTGATTTAGATACGTTTCACGCTTTTTCTCATCAGGGTCTACTCCTCCTTCTCTTCAACATATAATTGATTTCGATTTGAAAATTTGAAAGTCTATGCTAATTTATGCTATTAAGAATGGGGTTAGATATGTAGATTGTCATTAAGATCTAACTTTCACTACATTTAATAAAATAATTAACTAAAACTAAGCGTCATTATGCTTTTGAAATGGTAAGTAAACCATCGCCTCATTTTGTTGCTCAGTGGATATCTTCTCTTATTTTGTAAAGAAGTAATTTCCTAACGTATATATATAATGGATCCGATACAATTAGTGATATCAAATGAATATAATATACATATAATTTTATTAGTACTGCGAATCAATCCCTTTTTTATATGAACTACACAAAATTAGTAGGGCATTCAGTTTTTAATGGGCGTATAAAAGAGAGTACGTAGAGCAATCAAATTAAGACCCTACTCTTTTGAGTTCTATTTCACAAGAACATATCATTTCAGAAATTGGTGAGTGAAATCATTGTAACAATTAGCTCTGTCGCAAAGCATTCATATGATTTGCTCGCTCATTCATCTGCTTTTTGTATTGCGTATTGAAAAGAGCGCACATCGGGCAAAAGATGTGCGATCTTTTTCATTTTTATAACACTGGTTTTCGCGTTATCAATATTCTCTTTTTTGATGACGTAAAAATTCAAGAGCTCATTGATGAATGAATGACCAGTTCTTTTATATTCTAGGGCACAAAATAAATAGTTGCATAAATTCCTATATATAAATTATAGAAGTATAGTTATAGAAGTAGTAAAAACATTTCAAAATACAAAAATAAAATAATATAAACAATATATAAACAAATCAGAATTAAACGAGAGATCTTGAGTTAATCAGAAAGAAAGTATTCTTTTCAGCAAAGAATATAGCCAAAGAGTATTCACATTCTTTTTACATACATATATTTTTATACATATATTTTTTTCATAAAAAGAATACGTTGCTGAGGCAATAGTTTTATCAGTGCATAATTTTCTAAAAGAGGTATATGAAACGCTCTCCAAAAGCGCTCTTCTATTGAATTCGCTCAAGAGCCTGCTAAGTTAGTGATAAATTCTATATTATTCCATATAAATCTTGAAGAATATAAATCCGAAAAGGCACTCAATTGGCGAAATACGCGCTTATGCGTAGGCGAAGCCGGTAGTAAATAAAGAGCGTTAATGTACTACATATGAATAACAAGATTGATTATTTTCTCATTTATTTTTCACAATATTGTAACCTATAGAATAGATATAGATATTCTTTTCTTATAGATATAAAACTTCTAGATTGATTTTGCTAACTACTACTACATTATATGCAATTCGTTTATATAGAAATTATAACATTTATTATATTAAACTATTAAATGTTGTTGAGAATTATGTTACTTTTAGGGAGTAATTATTGAATTTTATCTTATATACATATGTTATATCCCACATCTTAAAGTGTGAGTAATTGGAGTGCAATTAATAAAGATGAAATGGAAATACAAATTATCCATATGCAACTAATTTTTCATACCTTCATAACTTTTAAAGTTGTTGTTGGTGGTTGAATGGGTCTGATTATGTTAAATCAAGGCACACACTCACACTTATATATTTATTGTTAATTTAATTTGTCTTACTTCCATTTTAGAAGTAAATTTTAATAAAATTTTAATGGTGCTTGTTGAATTAAAAAAAGGAGAGAAAAGGATATTGATTCGCGCGAAACGAAGCCCTCTAAGCATGGCAGATCTTTTATGTTATTTGTTTTCAAATTAAATGAAAATTTCCTTATAAAATATGGAAATTAAATATAGGACACAACATAATACTATGTTATCCTGGAGTTTCATTTTCTTTTCTCTCGTCTTCTCTCGTCTTTTGATGTCTTCTCTCGTCGTCCGTTTCTTTTTCTCTTTCTCCTCTCTTCTCTTCTCTTCTCTTCTCTTCTCTCTCTCTTCTCTTCTCTTCCTCTTCTCTTCTCTTCTCCTTTCTCTTCTCTTCTCTTCTCTTCTCTTCTCTTTCTATTTTTTATGAAAACTTAAAGTTTAGAGGAAGTTTATCAGAGAAATGGAAGGATAATTTGATTCTTCTCTTCAATTCTCTTCTATATCTTCTCTTCTCTTCTCTAGATATCTCTTGTCTTCTTATCTCTTCTCTTCTCTTCTCTTCTCTTCTTCTATCTCTTCTCTTCTCTATCTCTTCTTCTTTCATCTCTTCTCTTCTCTTCTCTTCTCTTCTCTTCTCTTCTCTCCTCATTCTCTTCTCTTCTCTTCACTCCTCTTCTCTTCTCCTCTCTCCTCTTCTCACCTCTTCTTTCTATTTCTATTTTTTATGAAAACTAAAAGTTTAGAGGAAGTTTATCAGAGGAATGGAAGGATAATTTGATTGTTGAATGCAATCTTTCTTATTTTAGGGGGAAGGAAAGTCTGATTTCTTGGAAGCCAGTGCAAAAGGATTAATTTCTCTAAATACTCTTCTATATAATACTCTACTCTTCTAAATACTCTTTGTTCATTGTTTTGGACACCTCCAAAACATGGTTTTTAAAGGCAACAATAGCTTCTTCGTCTTCCGCCGACAAAAATCGTTGTCCACACAATTTATTCTTGCGCTTGATATTCGGGAATAAGAAGAACGTTGAACATCATTGGGTGTCAAATCAGGACTGTACGGCAGATTGGATGAGTCGATGTTTTTATTAATGTTTTCTGGCACAACAACTGATTTTGGACGATGGTTTAGTACTGCTAACAATATACGTTCCTTTTTATAGAAAAAGTTCGACAGTTTCAAGTTATAATTATGTGAGGCGGTCGAAGTCTTCATTACTTAGGGTTTCTATACATGCATTAAGTAACATATCTTGTTTTAAGTTTTAAGTTTCTTATTTTAAAAAAGTGGATAACTGGTTAGAAACAGGTCTTATATAGTAGATAAATATCAATAAAAGCTATAAATAAGCTTGAGGGAAAGAATTTTTTTTAAATGATGGTCTCTTCATTGATTTTTTGTCAATTGAAAAGTTTAAAAGTAATATTATAAGAATTATGGCAGTACAATATCCTTAATAAAAAGGAAGGAACCTTTTTCTAAATGTTCAATCTTGAAAAATGTAAGAAAAACGAAATGTTAGATTCTACCTTGAATCTTCTGCCAAAAGAAATAGTAATGTATAAAAAATTTCAATATTTTTTTAAACCGTTTACACACTATATTTATTTATGTGTAATTATCTATAATTTTTTAAGACTCCAAGAATACTAAAAATATATATTTGAAGTACAGCATTGATATCTGTTGAGATTTCATAATTTTTTCAATCGAATACGCCAAAATCAGTGACCACAAGTTGTCTCACGAATTTTCCACCATCAGTGCCAAAATGTTGTAGTGCCTGTAAAAGATCAAAGCCTTTCGTGACTTTTCCAAAACCGATGTATCTGCCATTGAGCAACGGCATTTTAGTGTAAGTTAAACGAAAATCAATCATTCCATTTGGGAAACCTGTTTTATACTTGACGGGAAAAGCAATTATACCAGTCATGCGCGAAAAGTCGAAGCAATCTATTGTAAATTCAATTCTACGATCAGCAATAGAATCTGGTTCCATAGCTAGAGAGCCCACAGCGAACAATTTAGGAAAACTTTTCAAAAATTTCAATTTACTGTTGTCTTTAGTCCAAAATGTGCGTAGAAATTCACGAACTACTTGAGGTGCTGCTGGAGTAAACAGGCGAATGTTAATCGTCCCAACCGGTCTTGTCTTGGTACAAATTCTTTCCTGCAGCTCAAAATATATCTCTGGCTCAAAATACTTCCGTCTTGTATACGCAGAGATTTCAAAGTCTATCTCAGGATAATGAGATATCATGAAAGCCTGCAAACCAACTTTTCGCTTTTTGAATGTTTCCCTAAGAGCTGACTTCAGATTCGTGTTAACCGTAGGGTTTGCACAAATAATCCGCCTACCAATTTTCTTATTTTGAATTTGTAGTTCCTCTATCTTTTTAACTCTAACATTAAACTTCTTATGTTTATCATAAGCCTCTGCTTTATTGAAAGTGTTCAGAGTACCACCCGCAAACATATGACCAATGATGTGCTTCAACAGCTCAATGTTTTCCTTTGTTATACGCTGTAGAGATGTCACATCCTGTTTGAATAAACCTATACGCACGTAATTCAGTAAATCCAGCTTGGGAGGAGTGTTATCAATTCTATCATTTTTCTCTTTCTTCTTCCGGATTTTCTTTTTAGGTTTAGCTTCAGGAACGTCGGTGTCCAAGTTATTAAATTTACAGTCGCACATGTTGCAATTTTTACAAAATAAAATTTGTAACGTTAAATTTAGCTAAATTTAGCCTGTAATACAATTTAAGGTTCGAGAAATAATTTGGAACAATACAAATGAAAAATATTTCTGAATAGAATTTTATAATTTTTTAAACAAATAAGAAAACTAATGGAAAATATATTGGTTGCTTTGCTTTCAAAATATTTATTGCTGTATATTAAGATAATTACTAGTGATGTCATATAAAAGGTTCTTAATTTTTTGATTCTGATTTGACAGATTCTGCCGTCAAGGCAGAAAACATACTTATACGTGAACACACTTATCAGTGTAATGCGTCTATAAACTCGTCAATTATAATTTGTAAGCATTCTGTCCGTACCAATTGAAGCTATTGGTTTGGATATGGTTCGCTCATTGATAGACAGCGAGATTAATCTCATATCTCTACAGTTCTTTGGGTCACTATACCCGTTTGCAATTCCACATCGCAAGGACTGAAGTGAAGGTAGTTATTATTTTTCACTAGAATTTATACTTCAAATAGTATACGACGGTTTAAGTCAGTTCTTATGACAGGTGTGCCATATCTCGGGAATATTGGGGTATCCTGATTTTACTATATTATTTGGAGAAAATTGCGATTCAAGGCTTTAAATGCTTAGACATTTTCTTCCTATTTTACTATATGGATCACCTAAACGTGTTAAAATTGAAATTTGACTACAAAATTAGAGATTCTGCAACTCATACATTTCGTTTTGATATTCTTCAATGAAGAAACTCATTTCTAGCTTAATGGATATGTAAACAAAAATCGTAATATCGTAATTATCGTAACTGAGGCAGTGAAAATCCCAATGTATTTATAAATTAATTATTGTATTTACAAAAACTTGCTATTTGATGTGACATTTATTCTAAGGATCTGATTTACTTGTACATATAATTACTATTCCTTTGACGTGAAAATGATGATAAAAATATATAATATAGATAAGTGATTATGTTAAAATTTAGGTGTTGTGAATTGATCTCCAAACTAGAGCAATGTATAGCTAAGTGAATTTTTTTTTGTTGGGTTATGAAAAGCTCATTTTAACTCCTTGAGCATTTCATTTCACATGTTGGTGTTGTGAATTGATCTCCAAGATAGCGCGATCTAGAACTAATGGAGTGTTTCTTTTGTGGGGTTATTATAGAATCGTGTTTTTGGTTTCCTGAAATTGCGACCTGTTGAATAACCGTAAAGTTATGGTCGAACTTAAGCCGAAGTTATAAAAATTACCTTAAAATGAACCAACACTAATATATGTTTTGCTGGAGATATCGTGATCGATATTCAATCACAAGGGCGTTTTATTTATATTTACTTTCGGGACAAAATAAAACGATTTTATTTAAAAACTTTTTATTATTTAGTTTTAGGTATTTAACTTACATCAAAAAGATTATATATTATCAAATCGTATTAGAAAGCAAATTTCAAATAAGAAAAATTACAGTCAAACTGACTTTATTCTCTTTCGGTATTCGCTTAATAAGTTTTATAGATATTATTTTAAACAAATTGCTGACTCACATAAGATTAATGTGACGTATAAACATATGTCTTTTCTGAAATTTGAGATATTCTTAGTATATATTTTTTATATTTATAAGCGTATATGCAGTAAGATATATATATATATTTATTTATATATTTATATATACTCGTATACAAACATTAGTAAGTGATGTATGTTATAATAGTCATAGTCATAGTCATAATAGTTAATATTGATAGTATTGATAATATTGATGGGTAAATTTCCGTGGAATGCAAAGCCACTCTGTTATTATAATGAAACAGCTCATGTCTTCAATTTCTATATATGCGGTATTGGATAGATATCAGAGGACGAAAGATCCTAAAGTGTGGTACAACTAATCATTAGCGTTAGAATTGAAAATAAATATGATTAATTCAAAATCAAATAATACAAAAATGCAATTGTTGCCCAAAACGTCCCTTATAATGAACGTATTGGTTTCTATAAACACTATTTTTATGAAGCCCTTAAACCTTACGCAGTGTGACTAAAATCAGATCAAATCAATTAAATATAATATAAGATAATGTAAAGCCACTACTTGAAAAGTAGTGGATTCCTTTCCAGAAAAATTGTCGCATATAAAAGTGATGAGCGACTGATTTGACAACCGTTCTGAGAACCAAAGTTGTTTTAATATCTACAGGCACCGAAAATACCTGATGACTTGTCTCTTTGGGATCATCACAAAACGGTTAATAGAGAAAATACGCTATTGTACGATTAAAAGAGAAAATCATATTAAAATAATTTAGATTTGACGATAATCTAAACGATTAATAACGAAAGTTAGAAAAATAAATTGACTAGAATTAACTACAGAAGTCAAACTGGTAGCCAAATCTTTAGCCGCTTATTTAAAATACCAGTTAAACTATAATATATATAGTTCGCATTTGGGTTCCCATAACTTAAACAACATTTAATAGAAATATATATTTGATATGTGATTATTATTTGATTATTTTTATTGGCGTTATTTGGTGACGCCGGTATCGTCAAATTATTCTCTAAAACACAATAACGGCCTCTCTATTTAAAAAAACATGATCTCAATATTTTTAAAAATTACAGCGCAAATATATTTTGTATTTCGTCAGTAAAAGTTTCGAGAAGCTATTTGTATAAAAGGATTTAAAATGAGGTGACAGTAACAACAAATTTTTATCAGAAATTTTTAAAGTTTGTTCCACTGTTACAATATAGTGTATTTGTACAGACAATCGTTGCTCATGAATTTAATCTAAAGAGTAGTTAATGGTCTGCATTTTTCATAGATGTTATAACAGTGTCCCACATGTTTCAAAGAAATGTGCTACATCATGAATTTAGACTGTAAGGTTTCTACAAGATAACGAAGAAAACAAATGAAAGTTTACACTATAATATTTTGAAAATAGTATAGAATCAAAGTTATATATATATATTACGGCCGTGTCAAATATGACTTGGCGTAAAATACGGCTATGAGCTATTTTTTTTTTTTTTAAAAGGGTTGGGAACTAGTCACCGCGTCACTGCATCCTCGAGAATTCTTGTGAGCTATTGAGCCCGATGTTATATATGTTGGATGTTTTTCCTGGATGATTTAATAATAAATAATAAAACTTGTACCATTAATAGCTACAAATAAGAAGTTATAATTCCAAACAAACCTAATACAAGGTTAAAAAAAATTGAGAAGGATATTAATATGAGAAAAGGCTGGAACATATTGACCTTGCCTAATTGGTCCAAATAACGTAGAAATGTCGACTGTTGTGTTAATGATAATCAATATTATTCAAGCCATTTGGACATTAAAACGATTGACAGTAAAACACCGTTTAAATGATTAATATAAAATCAAAAAGCAATCTCGTTCACTTCTCAATAATTTCAAACATAAATATTTTAGATCTCATTTTTAATATATATTAGGTTATTTTCAATTTTTAATCGTCTTTAAAAATCGTAAACATGGATTTGTCTAAATGAACTTCTCTATTCTAATAGAGGGGAGGAGTATTTGTCTCTCTCGCTGTTGAACTCTTCTGCAAAGGGTCATTCAATGCTTATTTCAAAATATTCACTTAAGATATTTTTAAAAAACCTCGCCCATTTTTAAGTTTTACAAGCCTCTCTTGAAGTGAACTTTGTGCTAGAAAAGTTGTTCGGCGTGGAAGACAACACAAGAACAGGTGGTAATCACTTGGTGCCAGGTCTGAACTATAAGGTATATGCATAAGAAATTCCCATCAAGCCTCCGGAGATTTTAGTGCGCCATTATTGATGTGTGTGGCCTAACATTGTCCTGATGGAGCACAATTCCTCTCCTATTGGACGATTGCTTTCTTCATACGGTTGAAGTGTTCAGATGAACAGTACAGTTGGGAAAATAATGGATTTCTTATATATAATATTTTAGTATTTAAGGATATTTAGAATATTCACTATACCTAATAGTTTTCCATAAACATTTGATGCTTAATTTCTCAAACTTGCTATACCAAATCTAAAAACTTTCGTGGACCTTTTCAGTACTTAATATATTTTAAAAGTTAGAAAATTTTTTATCTATATAAGGTTTTGAAGACATATAAGGCATTAGAGAAAATCATTATAATGAATGATATAATAAAATAAGTACTCTTTCTAATTTCTTTCCGTTTACATTGTATGCTATTTTTTTCAGTTCAGTTAGCTGTTTATTTTGACTTTCTTGACTATAAGTTTCTGGATATCGCTTACTTACTTTGTAGATGTAACATTATTAATTTTATTTTTTAAAAAATTTTGAGTGAATATGTTATCTATTATACTTTGACGACTATATGAACAGTTAATATTACTAATACTATTCTATAGCACAGTATGCTTATTTAATAGTGGTTTGAACATCTATATATTTAATTTATATCTATTATATTTAAAATAATTTCTGTTAATATAACTAGAAAATAAGATTATTTGCTAACATGGTTTCTTCAAAAATTAGTACAATGTTTGTATTAAAACTGAAAAATTTATCACCCACCTTTATGACACGTACTCACTCTTCTGTTTTTGAGGATAATTTATAGTTCCTGTCTAAGTTGTAGCAATGCCTTTTTCAAGTTTTTCTCCTACCACTCTTAGGTATGTTTTTTCTCCTACCACTCTTTCTGCACCATGTTTTTGGATCTTAGCTTAACTACAGTTTTTCTTATTTTTGAAAAATTTTTCAAAGCAATCTTATTTAATTTTGTATAAGAACTACTAGCTTTTAATTCTTTAATAATAACACTTCTTCTATTCAAACATTTTATCAGTTTATTTACTTGATTTTAAGTGATATTTTTACTTATTTCTAGTTCTTTCAATATCTAGGTCCTCATACGACCCGGTTATATTTTGCAATAATGTCTACTGTTAACTCTCATATGATTGCTTCTACATTTTTCAAGAACAAATTTTTGGATGGTTTGGTTATATATCTAGTCTAGGTCTTTAAATATCTTTTATTATATCTTTTATTTTTGTATTTATACTTAAGCGCTTTTAATCATTAAAGACATTTTTAAATTGATTTGGAATATAAAAACAGATTTTCTCTTTTTGTAGGTGAGAAGTGACAATGCTCTATGTAGGGTTAAACCGACCACCGCCGGAAAAGATGTCAGAGTAGTATAGTGACTAAAACACCCACTTTTCTTTTTCGGGATTGCTTCAATCGAAACCGATTCCGCATTACTTTGCGGAGGATCGCTACTTCGTTGGCTATCCATTCTGTAAGCTTTTGCTAGAGCTTTTGCCCTGTTCTACTCTGAAGTGAAAAGTCTCCAAATTGCCTTTCGATTTAGTTTAGTATGCGTTCAGATGTTTCTTCATTTTTTGAAGTACCTTTACGATGAATTGTGCGATTTTGTTTTCTTCAGTTTTCTGCTCATATTTCTTCGATATTTATTATCAATTTGTAATTTTATGATCATCATTCACCAATACCCTTCCCGGATAGATACACTATATATTTTTGGCTTACGTACTTATAAGTAAGGGTAATTACTATATATTTCAAAACTGTGCATTTCAAAAGATATGGAGGTAGATGTTATCAGAAGATATTTTCTAATTATAGTATATTATATTTTCAAGTTTGTTTCAAGTCCAAGAAATATTAACATTACATTTTTTTTAGTAATACTTAAAAGACTCTTTCTCAACCGTTGCACCTTTCTAGCTAATGTTAACGTTGTACAATGTCTTCTAGAACTTTATATACTTGCACACGAACAAGACCTTTCGGAACACGGACAATTTTAATCTCGTCTTCTTTTGCGACTTGATATATATTTGTTCTCAGTACGTACTTCTCTGAATTGGGGAGCATATACTGGGTGAACATGCTAAATATTTTATAACTAAATAATTGTGTATAAAATAATAAGACCTCAAATTGCTGTTTATAATATATATATTCTTGATTAGTTCTGATTCTTGACATTGTAGTTCTTCTTGTCAGAAGAGCCTGCGCAATGCCTAAAAGATAGTGGTGGTCCTCTTTATTAAAGCCATTTTTTTTATACGATTGCCTTTGATTAAAATGCTTCAAAGTTAAAAACAGATGATTCAAAAGCATCTAACTGCATATCGATTAGATATAGAGATTATTAAAGGATATTGGAATAAGTGTGGGAATAGGTAATAGATTATATTTATGTTAACATATGAAAAATAAGAGAGTTAAATTTTCACTGCAATATTTTTGAAAATGTAATTTTTTACTCAAGAATTGTGACCGGACTCTTAAAAGTAATCATTATTAGTACATAGTAATGCAATAGTAATGCGATTATCATCTAAGTAGTTATAGATACACTGAGATATTTCAGTTTCGTTAGTGGTTACGACATGAGCCATATATTATCTATTTATGGTACTTCCAAAATTGTCGTTGTATAGTTTCCTTATAGCTTGAAGGTTTAATCATGTAGTTGAGCTGATTTCTTCAGTGGTTACCGAGATTTTCCTACCTGTCAACTAAATATATCGATTGTTCTTGCAATTATCGACTTTTACCATATATATCTTTTTATATTGACTTTAACGATTACTAGACATGTATTTTTAAAGAAGTCATTCTAGGATCTTGCGTGATGACTAAAGCAATTGCAATTATAGCTTTGTCAGATATATCAAATCAGTCTCTAACTAAAGTATATAGTAGATTTTAAATTCGATCTCATATAAAATGGTTGAGGTGGAAAATATAAAATTATTTAATCTTTCGTTTTGTGAGGAGTTTTGGTGAGTAGTTTTCAAGATATAAGTGTTTCCCTCATCTATAATATCTTTTCGTAATAATTTGATGTCTCTCCCTTCTCTTATTAGTTTTTGATTGTTTTATTCTTATTTCTACAGTTAACGTTTGTTGTTCTCTAATTGTATTTTAACTTTCTATGAGGAAGATTTTTTTTTGTATTGCATTCCTTAATAAAAACATTCTCTTTTTTATTTTTCGATGCAGACACTTTTTATTTCAAACCCTACAATAAAAAAGTTTAAGATCTTGCTTTAAAGCAACTCAGTAACTTGTCTTCATATATGGGAGGAGCTTTAGCGTTCAGTTCCTCAAGCAAACCAAAGAACGTAGTCGTGTTCTTTACGACAATTTAATATCGTCATAAAAAATTTTTGAGTAACAAATATATAACTGGCATATAGTGCCAGTTATACATGCTTTATATATAATGCTACATAGTTCTATGCGGTGTTGAGTGATAAATCACTGACAAAAGTACTTAAATGAGAAAATTAAATTGGATTTTATAATTGCAAATAAATTGCGGATTAAATATTTATTTTTTTTTAATTTTAGTAAATTAAGTCGCTCCCTGGTACGTTACTAAATCTTAGATTTTCTGTCAAAACAGTGATATTTTAGAGCGAATGATTAGTCAAAAATGACAGTTATAAAATTTATAAGTATTTTTAGTATAATTTAAGTTCATGATACATTTCACCATAAAAGAAATGCGCAGAGCTATCTGGGCCAGTAAATGTGTATATGCATAGCCCAGCACACTGGCTCATACCAGTCATTAGATATATGTATGTAAACCGATGTAGAGCAATGTATGCAAGCAATAATAAAATTATGATTTGCATGGTTTTTCTTTGCAGTTGCTTTTTGGAATAATATTCAATTACTAACCCAATTAAAAAAAGGCTGTGTGCTTTTAGGCGTTCACCAAATGTATAGCAAATATAAGCATAACATATGCGCGAGAAAATGCTTAAAGCCATGATAACAATAAAAGCTGTAGAATTTATATACACAAATCGTAGCTCATTTCCTAGCAGTTCGCATTTCGTAGTTCGCAGTTCGCAGTTCGTAGTTCGCTGTCCATTAGCAATAATTGTCGCACTTGCCCAAACCCATGTGTTGCATTGCTGACGTAATTATACCTTAGTTTGTTTAAATACAACTCCTCTCCGCCACACCTTCTTGGCTTTTAAAGAGTGCTAGGTGCACCAACTGGATCTACATGCCTAGCTGGTATACTCATAGGCATGTAGCTTGCATAAAGATTGGAGAATCGAGGCTGGAGATTGAAGATTGGGCTATGCAACTGGGTACGCTGTAAAGTGAGTTCGGTGGAGTTTTTGGTAGTACCATACAAATTTATTACTGGTTTGCTGGTTCGCTATAGGTAGCAAATTCCGATGCGTAAATTTAAGTATGAGAACTGGACTGTTTGTTGAATTTTTGTATACAGCTTTTTTATATGATAAAAATAAATAAAAGGAGAAAAATTTTCAATTTGAACAGCGGCAATACGCATTTGGTGGCTTCGTAGGTGCTGTGCTGGTCCACTTTTTGCACGATTTTAAACATTTTTGTGTCTCGTTTTTTCCTTTTTTGTATACAAAAATTATTATTGCCCTAGCTACTCTTGCCAATGCTAAAATGTTGTTGTACGGTTTTTTATGAAGTTTTTTGTGCAACTCTCATGAGTTTTTCATTTACATTTTATTTTTCACTCACTCACGCATGCAATAAAAGTTTTAAAAATGTTCGAACACATAAAATGAAAAAAAGTAAATAATATACTTTCAGGGGTACACTATACACTATACGCTATACGCTATACACATGCAAGTAAAGCAAACAACAGCGATGGGAGATAAGGAATGGTGCATCGCATCGGCCACGGCCACTATAGTCGCAGCACGTCACAGTTAGTATTGACACACCAGTTTGCTAGATCTATCACGAAGCGATAAATGTACCCAATTTCATATACTCGCCCTATAAATTCGGAAATATGAAGTTGAAGCAAGTCTGAGACCCATATGCGGGCTGTTAGAGTTGGGCAAAGAATTTCATGGTTTCTCATGGTTTCGCATTTCGTATTTCGTATATCGTATTTAAAAAATGCGTGACAGGATGACGGTACTCTTAACAATAGTTACTGCATTTACAACCACAAAAAAACACATTTATGCAAATATTGAAAAGGAATATAAAAAGAGTATGAACAAGCAGCGCATTATGTACATTACGCATAAAAATATTGCAGTCGCTATACGTTGATTTATATTCAACATTAAAACGCAGTTACGACGCACACACGCTCAAACACGCTCACGCATGATAGCCCCATGCGTTTCACGTTGGAATGGGAATGGCAGCATAGGGCATATATTTAAGTAAACTCATTAATTTTTTCCTTTTGCAGACATTTTTGTTGTTACTTTAACAAATATTATTTCACATACTTGCATTATTATATTATAATATTACCATATATTAGACAGAAAGCTTATTTTTTTAAATTCTTTAAACAAATATGTATATATATGTAAAATTTTTATTCCAAAACAACAACAAAAAGTTGATTAGTTTTATATTTTTTGTCAACGTCTGAGATTCAAATGTGCTTGTCTACAAGTGCGAATGATATCTACTAAAAATGCATGTGATATAGCTACTCAATATTCTTGTAGTATTTATCTAAATATACTTAAACGAAGGATATGTATTACAAATGCCCCCACCCATTACGGCCATTCATTGTCCTTTATAATACTTAGCTAGACTAAATTTAAACTTAAACCTATATAGCTGTCTAACAGTTTCTATCGTTCTGTCAGAATATACACAAAATAGGTGAACGGCATACTTATATACATA